CAGCGTATGTATGCACGTTCGCAGGGGGAAAAAAAAAAAAAAGAAAGAAAGGCTCGAAATACAACAGCGTGCGAATGTAGCCGGCCTCATATTTGCTTCTGCTGCTTTGGATTCGGCTGAGCAAATGCGCTCTGCAACAAACGTGAACCGTGTCGCTTGATTCGGTCGGGGTACGGGGAGGCGGCGGGGTGGTCCTCAGGAGTTAGAGGGGCTTCCATTTAGTGGGGGGGAGCAGCAATAATAAACTTGTGAGTATGAGAAAAGTGTGTTTTGGCAGGAAACTTGGATGGAAAGTTGTTTTCGCACTGGTCCAACCTACCACAGCAAACAAGAAATGAATAACGACGACAGTAGATAGCTCACAAACTAAAAATCAAGTCTCATGCAGAGTCAAAAGCCAGTTTGTTTGTTTGTTGTTGTTGTTGTTTTTTTTGGAGCTTTTATATTTTGTCAACGAAAACATGATTTCGTATCGAAAGTTCAGCGTGCCCATGAAAGGATCTTGTGTCACGCTTTGTGTTCTATTTTCAGGATCCTGCGCTGACTGACGATTGTTCATCCAGGATTTTCTCTGCCAAGATTTTGACCTCGCTGAAGTGAAATCGGCCGCCATGCCCATCCTGAAGCAGCTGGTGTCCGGCCCCGCTCAGAAGAACCGGCGGTCCCGTAGCGACCTGACCCGGGAGATGATCAGCGCGCCGCTGGGCGACTTCCGCCACACCATGCACGTGGGCCGCAGCGGCGACGCCTTTGGCGACACCTCCTTCCTCAGCTCGCGCTCGGGGGAACCCCCCGCCGATCCCGCCTCCTTCCCCAGCTCCCCCCGTCCGGGCTTGCTGTCGCGCGCCTTCCGCAGCAGCAAGCGCTCCCAGTCCACCACCCGAGTGGACCAGCATCGGGAGCTCCCCCTGGTGGTCTCGGAAGGATCGCCCGCTTACGTTAAGAACGCCATGTCTTTGCCCTTCCTCAACGACGAGGACGCGGGAGACAACGCGGTGGCCGAGAGCCTGTCCCCCAGCCCGATAAGCCAGCACTGCGCCGGCGCTCCCGGTGCCGCCACGGGAAGGCGTTTCCCCGAGCTGGAAGAACTGCGTTTCGGGGAAGCCGGCGAGCTCCCCGAGAGGCGGAGCCCCGCCGCCGCCGGAATGAAGCACGCCGAGTCAGTCATGTCCTTCCACGTCGACCTGGGCCCGTCCATGCTGGGGGACATCCTGGGCGTGATGCAGAAGGACGACGACGACCTCGGCTACGAGGAAGGCAAGAGCAGCGAGGGCCGCGCCTCGCCGCCGCTCAGCGCCCACGGAAGTGATGACGACAACGACGGGAGGAGGACGGTGGCCGTAGCTGAGGAGGAGGAGGAGGAAGCACCCCCGAGGACCGATCCCGAGGTGCCCCACACCCCCCAGTACACCCCGGAGGTCCTCCCCAAACACTTGCGGCACCTGGATAGCTGCTCCGTGTCCAGCTCGGGCTCGGCGGCCCTGGACGACAAGGCCCACGTGTACGCGGCCGACACGGACAGCGCCACCTTCAGCGCGCCGCCCGAAGAGGAGAGCCACTTCTCGTCCTTCCTGGACGACGACGAAGATGACGAGATCCGCGTGTGAGGAAGCGTGGAATGTTGGTGACGTAAGCCAGCATCCCTTGAGAGGGGAGTCGGAGAGTGGGAAGCACGAGCAAGCGGTTTGTCCGCTCTCGCCCTTTGAACGTGGAACATTCCAAAGGACGGACCCCCGGCAAGCCCCCTCCCCTCCTTGAATTTGGCCCATCTCTCATCACTGCAGTACCACCACTCGGGGCGTCTTCTTCGCCGTCGGAACATAAAGGGCAAATGGCCATTTGAGCTGCTGGGCTCCCATGTCGCCGCTTCCTGCCGGCGCAAATTCTTCTGGACTTTTCCGCTTGACGGTAAACAAGAGCCCGATGGTGGACACTTGGCCGTTTAGCACTAAGTGTAAAGCCAGCCGCTTCTGCGCGGAAGCGGCCGTGTGAAAGTGAGATTGTGTTCGTCTTTGGGCGCCGCGAACTTGACACCCGATCAGGATGTGAGAGACGGCGCTCTGGTTTTGCTTGGCATCAGTGTGCTTGCTGACTCCTTCGTGTCTTTGTGTGAATAGTGACATCGGTGGTGTGGCGGGTACTTGCAGTCGACGGGTTCTGGGTTAGAATCTCATTCATGTTCAAACCCGCGCTCGTGTGCATTTTCCACCAATCGGAAGTCAAATATCACCTCCGACCCAATGAAGACTCAATGCAACATCGTTCCAAAAGCATGCCTGGTGGCTCAATGTGAGCAGTCCAGAGTGTATTCCGCCACTCGTTGAAAATGGAGGAATGGATGCTAAAACCGAGGCGTCTCTTTGAGGGAGCATTTTAATTTTTCCCAAGTGGGTGGTGGGATGGAAATTTCGGGGGCAACCAAAACCTGTCACTAGTCAATTAAAAAAAAAAACAAAAAAAAACGCTACTTGAACTGTACTCTGCTCACACACGGACAATCGATTTGAACCCTGTTGCTAACCAAAACAGCAGCACATACCAAAGCATGTCCCGAGCGAGTCTTGTTGTCAAGGAAATCGGCTATTCACCATCTTCTTAAATATTAACAACGATGAGGTGTCCCTCTTTGTTTTGCTTAATTTTGCCATAATTGTCACTTTGGGAAACGTCACAGTCCCCGCATTTGTAAGACCAAAACCAGTCACGTTTTTTTTTTTCCCCCTTCAATAGCGCGCCCCCCCAGGTACGATTTGCAACAACGCGCTGTGAGTTGTAACTTCCTGTCATGACGATTAAGTTTATTGAGTGTCACCGACAGGCCCAATTAAATTTGAATCCGTCTGTATCTGTTCTTATCTTTGTTGGTTTTGTGTTGGTTGGTGTGTATGCAAAAGCAGTGGCAGCAATCAAACATTTGTCGGCAACTTGTGGAGACGTCGCAGCTCGAGTGTTGCGTCACATTTCCAAAAATAAGGATTCCTTGTGCTGCCGCCGCTTGGTGAAATGGTGCCACAAAGTCGTTATTGTTGTTCTTATTCCAGCCCAATTGATTGGGAGACTGTGCCTTCCGAGCATGTTTCAACAAGAGAATCACAAAGTAACTCCCAACACTAAAATGAGTATATCATTCCGGTTGTTTGATGATTTGGTGCGGGTGAAAGGGAGGCGTTTGTCTTTTGCCTTTCTGTCTTTGTCTTGACTGTATATTTACAGCTTTTTTTGTTGTTGTTGTTGATTGCTGTATTAGTCAGAATAACGTATATATTTTTCAATAAAAGAATTTCTGCTCTTTCATCGCTTGATCAGTTACCATTTTTAGCACGCGAGGAGGTGTTTAAGTCCTTGTTTGATGGCGATAGTCAAAAGCCATTTTCTGCAGGTGGCACACTTGAATAAGGAAGGAAGGAAGTCATCGCATTGTGGCCGGATGTGCCTGGTAAGTATGAGCTCATGTCGGCTCCGGGTTGAGGGAGTGTGAGTGAAGAGAGTGGTTGAAGGTTTTACGATCGGACGTAATGAAAAGGTTTGACCTTGACGGTTATCGCCCCGACTGTTTTCCAAGGCAAGAAATTAACTCTGGACACACCCCATACCACATGATCATCACTCACAATCATTTTTTGGGATGACAATCGAGCCTTTGCTTACTTTGATTGTAAGGAGGGGGAAATGCTCTCATTTGGCTCAAGTACCTAAACAGAAAGGTCAGTGTGAAAAAGTTCCGGGGGGGAAAAAAATTTACAGTTGAATGTATCTGCACAAAATTAGGCGGACGGATATGTCAAAGGCACTGTATTCGAAAACGATGCATGGGAAAGTCATTCCTGAATAGGAGGAAGTGGGCCATTTGGATTTGATGCAGCCATTTTGGGCAAACTCCAGGTCTGGTATCGAAGGCTCCTCGGACCGTAGCGAATGTTCCCAAGTGAGCCCCATTTGGAAGCAAGCATTCAATGACGATAAAGGCCATTCTGATTCAATGATTCTGTGAGTACCACTCAGTGGTGTGCGCTGGCGTGAACCATCTCTCAAGCACTTGCTCAACTTTACCATTTACTTTCGATGGAATTGTACTCATTTCTTTCCAACGTTACTTCGCCTTAATTTCAAGTCTTGTAAGTACAGTATTTTACATTTTTTGTCCAAGTAGATTTCATGTCAATGCTACCTGCCTAGATTACAATCCTGTGTAAATAAAGGTGGGTTGTGTTTTTTTAACCAATCAGATTTCACATTGACCACGCTCCACCTTCGCGAAGGCTGCGAGTGACGTTTGCGGTTTTCAGTCCTCTGATTGGTTGATCACAGAAACTCAACTGGGATTCATATTAACGCGCTGGTGTTTACTGGATAAGATAATTGTCGGACAGCATTAAAAAAAATACATAGATCAAGAAACAAAAATGGTCATTGAAATCAAGAATAAATTGTCTGGATTGCTCCCCCCACCCCCAATCTGGAAACGGATTTTTTTGTTGACTATTTTAGCACTCCAGGACTGCAACAATTACCGGTAGTTAGCTTTGACTTCCCTAACACAGCAAGCGAGCTAGCTCCGAGGAGTGAAAGACGATGGATATTTTCTTCATAGAATAAGCATCTGTGGTGAGTACGAAGTGTTCAGGTGATTTTTTAAATGTTTGTTATTTTTTAGAATGTTTCATGTGATAAGATAAATACCGATTGTCAACTGCTCTATTGTGATGTAAAGTTTTGGAGTTGATGAAATGGAAGGTTTAACTAGGTTTTTTATTAATGACGATATTCATCCTCGAATCCACAAAATGGCTCTGTTGCTCTCTACGCGCTGCTTTGTGAAAATATACATGGTTTTGAAAATATACGTGGTTTTGTGTATTTCAAAACACGGCCGTGGTGATGGTATTAAAAGGAGGATTCGGTTAAATTAAGGGCAACTCAAGACCCCCCCCCCCCAATTCTCGCAATATGGTCTATTTGCCCCCACCAGTCCAAGTATGGTATCCTGATGAATATTGCGTTTGTGGAAGGTGAATTAAGCAGATAAATCCATCTATGTCAGAAGGGGCTGCCATTTTGGCCTTCTACCGCCCTCTGCCGTCGACTGAAATTGATGTCAAACTGTCCTCCGGCGCAGCGCATTGGAACGTCACAGATGATTTGTTTTCTGGGTTTGGTCTCGTGGCGTTCTCAACATTCATTTTCTTTGTTACATTCAAATTTGAAGTCGGTATAAACGGTGAATTCCAGTCCAACTCCCTGCCACAGAGAGACACTCCCCCCCCCCCCAGTTAAAAATTCCCCCACGGTCGGGAGTTTGGTGAACACTGACAGCTCAGATGTATTCCCCGTTCAATCGTTCAAGCCCATTTTACTGGGCCTTGCTTTTCATGATGTCACATTACACCAGCCTCCAATTTGTCAACAGGAGCTAAAAATGTCATTTTTCTCAGCTTGGTGATAACAGCAGCCTGTTTCAATTGATTTCTGGCGGTCAATACGCACCAGCTGCGCTATTCGTCGTTCCGTTTGTCGCCGTTATTCTTCTTTTATGCATTGCTCGTTTTTTGTTTTATTGTCTTGTTTGCTCATCTAATTTAGTGTTGGTTGGGTTTTTTTTTTGCCCTCGCCACCCTTTCCAACTTTTTGTTTCAGGAGAGCTTGTGGTCTACTGCCATCTAGTGGCCACAGGGAACTCGTGTCTGGTGGTTTTGGTCGCTTCAAAGGAGGGAGGGGTGTGGCGATTTGGAGGAGCTCACAAATGTCATATGCGAGGGGGTGGTTCGTCATAAATGTTGCATCATTTACTGTAAAATATTGTACTCACACGTGACGCCGTCGGCTTGAAGTATGAGGCAACGGTTTCTTCTTCAGGTTTACAACTAAAAAAAACAAACAAAACAAACAAAAAAAAGAGTCATCGTAACCCGAGTCCACCCACCATGCAGTTGTTTCTTGTCCCGCCCCAAGTCAATGTTCACTTTAGGCTGTAGTTTCCGAGCGCCACCAATGGGTGGCGCGCTCTGCCCTTTTTTTTTTTTAAACGTCAGGAGCCCCCGGCCTGGACACTGGCAAAGCCCCCTTTTGCTGCTAAATTCCATCAGCAGACTGGCGGAGCCCTTCCCGGGACGACGGCACGCCGCAATCTGGAAAGAATTAAACAACCTGCCTGGTGTGCTGTGCAAGCTTTAGAGTGGGGGTGGAATATGAAGGAGAGAAAAAGAGACAGGAAGTGAAAAAGTTGGGTGGGGGGGACACAATACAAGATTGTTCATATACTGCCTTTTTTTTGCCTGGGTTTGCTCTCTATTTTACAGCCCCACACACACACACACACACACACAATCCAGACGGCTCCCCTGGCAACTCCAGCATTTTATTTCTTTTTGAGTTTGCTGCAGCATGTTTGCAAGGCCTTTATTTTAATAGGTCGTAAACAAACAGCAAAAAAAAAAAAAAAATGTGTGTGTGTGTGTGTTTGTTTTCTGGATTTCATCATCACTCTTGAGGGAAAAAAGAAAGCTGTGTACTCAAGCTTGTCTTCAGGACTTCTTGTAGTGTGGGCATCACAAATCAGGTCCCCGTAATGAATTCATATGTGTGCACGCGTGTGTGTATGATGATATTCATCGCTCTTGTGGTCACACATGCATATTTTGGGGACCACAAATCAGGTCCTCATTTCTGGTGTGTCTGTGTGTGTTGTCCATCATTGTTTGGGAAGAAAAAATGTGTTCACATGAAAACATTTTGGGAAAGTACAACTCAAGTCCCCATAATATCATGTAGGTATGTACGTTTGTGTGGGTTAGAAAACTCACCACCCAAAGGGACAAAAATAGTTTGACACAAGCGCATCTTTGGGGCTTCTTGTGCTGTGAGGACCGTAAATCAGGTTCCTGTAATATGGGCTCGTCGGTCCGTGCGTACATTCTTGTATACCTCGCTCTTAGGGACAAACGTCTGCTCTCAGAAGCACATTTTGGGACCACAAATCAGATCCCTGAATTTGGATGCGGGCATCTGTGAAGTTTTTTTTTCATCCTTTTGGTTGTTGTGTTTGCTTTGACTCTGTGCGTCGTGCGCCGTTTTCTGCAGGAGACGAGTCGGAAGGTTCCTGCGCCGCCAGTGCCAAAGCGCCGAGTGTGTGTTTGTGGCCTCTAAGCGAGAGTGATGCAACTTGAGGCCGCCCAGACATTTTTCCCCCCATGTGAGCGTGTCCATGACGTCATGCGCCACTCGGTGAGTACACCATCGAACAGCAAACGTCAAGAATGTGTTGTACAGCCACCAATGAATGGAATCTTCCGGCGTATTGGACTTGCTCATGTTTTATTCAGAACCGAGCCACCCCACCCCCACCCTCGTATCCTCTCGCGCTCGCGTATTGGACTTGCTCATGTTTTATTCAGAACCGAATCGTATCCTCTCGCGCTGTTTTCCAATCCTCTTGGTTAGCTTTAACTGTATTTCAAACTGCGGTGGCGGTTCGAGCTCCTCCGCCGTCGTTTGTCTTTGTCAAAATTCCGCAACGTGGCCAACTTTCATCACCAGATAAAGTTTATCTTTAGGCAGCACTTTGCCACTGCCCCTGCTTTTTTTTTTGTTGTTGTTGTTGTTTTGCTTGCTGGTATTGGCCTCCTTCACGAGTATCGATACCTTGAAATAAGGCCAGACCTGACACAGACACCGAGTAGTGCCCATCCCATCAATTTTTTTCAATTCCCCTTATTACATTTCATTCCCGCTGTCCCGATGGTGTTCCGTCAATTTTCATCACAGTCTTTTTTTTTCCCCACACGGTGAAAAATTCACCTATCCCAAGAAAAGAAACTCGAGCCAGTGCAGTGCCCGTGTTGTCCTCTTCACCTCGGAAAGCCTGCAGACCACACGCGCGCACACGAAAGGGGGAGGGGTGATGACGCCGCTGGCAGATGCAAGTTGAAAAATGAAGTTGACCGGAGCCCCTTTGCGCGTTCCCCTCCGTTCGTCTTCATAGCAACAACGTGCCGTGGTGACGGCTCATGTCTCATCAGCGCTTCCACTATGACTTCAACATTTGGGTCGGGAGTGTGTCATGGCGGTTCCTCCTCGGGGCCCGCCCGAGTGTTGAAATGTCTTTTTCCATGTGGCAAAAATGCAGCTGCGAAACGGCTAAAAATAGCGCTGACGGCGACGGAATGAACGCACACTCACACGTACGCCACGACCGCTCAGTGAGCCGCAGCAATATGTGATCGATATTGTTTTTTGTCGAGGATAAAGAGAAGATGTCTGTGGCTATTGCGTTGCTGTCGGTGTCGCTTTCAGGGTTGGAACGTCACCACGGTGAAGCTCGTTTCATTCGCCTTCCCGTGGCGTTTTCCGCTTGCGGTTAGCATTAAGCTAGCGGGCCAATCCAATATGATAAATGTCAAAAATAGAATAAGACGTTTGTCAAATGAGCTCGCGGGAACTGCGGACTTGCCAATAAAAATCCCCAAGAAGAAGAAGAAGTGAGTCCCGCGAGGCTCCAAGCAGGCCAACAGGGGATGTTGGCGCCACCCCAAGAGCGCGCACAAAGCCTTCCTTGTTTTCCGGCGACACGGCATGCCCGCCGCGCAGCGCCTCGTTGGGGCGCTTGCCAGGAAGTGAGGGATCGCCGGGGGTCGCATCCCATCGGACTTGCGATGACCTTTCAACCTTCAGGCTCTCTTCCTCTTTTTCTTCCTTCGGAGCTGAGTGAGCTCATGACGCATAGCAGGCGGGGGAGAATATACGGCGGGCGGATTTTGAATATCCCGTGATCAGTTTCTGAATGAATGAAGTCTTTTTTTTTTTTTTCCCCACAAATGATCTATCACAGACCTTTGCTGGCTGTGACTGGAAGCAGGGAGGCTCGCTCAGATGATGGCCAGGTGTTGGAGCCGTGAATGAAGTGACGAGAGTGGCGGCAATTCGGCATTTTCCACGAGTTCGATTAGCGATCGACATTTTGTCGATTTTGCGATTGATGTCGCGGACCCAACCGCCAACCGAATCATCACCAACGTGCGCACTTCCTGCGCTGGAATCAATGTCCCGTTTTTCTGTGACGGGGTGGCAATTAAAAGATGTTATTCGATCCGATTTATCGATTCAGTGGGGAAAAAAAAAAAGAATCAACCGATGAATTAGTTCACTATTTGTTGCCGCCCTAGAAATGACTTTATTCACTTCCGACGATCCAAATTTTGCCTCTGGAGTCACAAGTCCTCTTTGGGGCCGATGTGGTTCAAAAGCAAATCCGAGTCATTGCTCCTTCACTAGACTTTCACTTTTGTGGTCTCCGACCTGCAAAGCCTCCAAACACAACGGGGCCACAAGAAAAACAGTCAACATCACCCACCGCTTTGAAGCCGGCCAAGGAGCGGACAAACAAAAGCCCGAATGACAAACACATGGCATCGATTTATGGAGGGATCAGCTGGAACACCCCCCCCCACCCCTTACAAACCCCGCCCCCAGCCCTCTCAACGGTGTCTGGCTCAGCCCTGGGGGAGGCCCGCTCGGAGTGTGGATCACGGGGCCCTTCAAAAAGCGGCCGACGCCCACTGCGCTCCAGCCCCGTTTTCAAGTCCGCTCTTCACGTCGTCACCCGCCGCTTGTTTTCTCTCCGCAGCCACACCCTCAGTGTGTGATTTAGAACGCAGCTGGACCGTTTCACAAAGTAGTTCATCACTTTTCGTACCCTCCCTAGTTGACTTTTACAAGCGTCGCGAATGCGGGAGAAGGTACAAACTGTTACCTTCAAGGAGGGGAGGCCAAACGTTTGCCTACAGAAAAACGGAAGGATAAAAGGGCCGCAAAATTCGGGTCAAGAAAGCAATTCGAGCTGGTTTGCGTTGATCATTCGCTTTCTGTTCAAGGTGTTAAGGCAAATTTTTCCAAGTGGCCAACAGCCACGATCTCACGAGATCGATCGGGTTGTGCACTTAACAGCGGCCGAACACCATGTCCATATTCAGAACCCCCCAAACCAAAAACTGAAGTGAGGTGACCATTTTCAAACAGTTACTTGAGGATCGTTCATGCCATGTCGAATTGGAGGCTCAAGCTACAAGCTCCGGGCGGCGGCCAGCACATCCGCCTCACGATTCTGAGGTTGAAGATTTGAATCTTGACCTTCCCGCGCGGCGTTTGGACGAACATTGTTGTCATGTGGATTCTCATCGGGCAAAATGGCGGTCCATCAGATGCTTTGTCGCAGCGTGGATTGACGATACGATTCAGTGGAATTGCCGCCACTCCTCGTGCGCCCGCTTTGATATGCTGTACTCATATCAAGCATTCTATGCGGAGGATAAATAATCCATGACTGCCATTGCTGCTATAATCGCTGTTTGCCTTTGCGGGTTAACGCATCGATGATATCGAGCGGGAACGTGAAGCTAGCGGACCGAAAGACGAAGCTACGTCGTCCTTTTCAAAGCACAACGTCTAAATTCTCTTTGTTTTATGCTTGGTTTAATGGACTATCATGTCGAAACTTGACATGGCCTTTTTGGGGTTCGTGGTGGTGGTGGCCGACCGCAAAAAGCCATCAGAGGAAAATAGCGAGAGACCGGACGTTGCTTGGGCGCGTAGGCTCCACGTGAGGAACGGGCGTTTGAGGAGGATGCGCCCAATGGATAAATCAGAGCCGGCGGGAGGAGCGGAACAAAAGGAGGCATGCTTAGGTAATCATCCTGCGCTTTCTCCAGCTGGGCCGCTGCTCCGGGGCCTCCGCCGGGAAGCGAAGAAAGGCGGGAGAGGAGGGCGTTAGTGTGCACCGCTCTCGCGATGTAGATCTTCCTCTCCCCGCCCCCAGCGGCGTTTACAACCGGCGACGCGCAAGTTGGCCGCTTTGCGCCCGCACTGTAGGGTAGTGTACGACGGAACGCCATGCGGCGCGGGTCAAATGTTGCTCCAGTTCGAGGAGTACCTCCAAAACACGTTTGTCATCAATGGGACGCAACTTTCACTCGCTGAACGAATGGATGGAAAGGCTCCCGAGTCCCGCCCTCAGTCATCGGATTACATTTTGGCCACACGCGGCACCGTCGTCCTCGGCAGTCGAATAACTCCCAAATACAAAGTACGGCAGACGCTGGAAATGGCGGTGCCGGATTTAAAAAAACCAAAAAACGGAGCTGAGTCACTCTTCAGATTTTCAGCTGAATGAAAGCAGCCGACTTGCGTGTCCACTTCTGCTAAAAGTCCAACCATGTCAGCATTCCCGCTCGTACTTGGAATGTCCTTGCGGTCTGATGATTCCCCAACCCCGCTCTTCCAGCAAGAAGCAGGACTGCTTCTTCCTTCATTTTTGACATTTCTGTACGGGCCGGAGAGATTCACCAATCCAACGCACGACCGCAAGAATCAACAAGTGTCGTTGGAAACCTCCCAGAGCTGACAACCCCCCCGACTCCCCTTTACACAAGCGGTGGCATTTCTTTGCCGGCTGCATCATGATCAAGCGTGAGTGGAAAAAGTCTGTGTGTGTGTCTCCCCGACTTGTGCGTTTCCAACCAAGGTTGATGATGACGTAGCCTGCGTGTTGGCTATTCAGCCCAACATTTGAAGATGACAAAAACAACGTCCCCTCAGTCAGGATAAAAGAGATGAACGCTTGATCTGAACGCCCTTTTTTTGCCGATTGAGAAAAGAAAACGAAATCTTGGCCGGACATTTCTGGATTTCGACAAAGCCGGAGATTGTGAATTTTGCCCATCCCCGCCCCTCCCTCGGGAAGCGCAGCTTTCTCCCATTGAAACGTTCCATACAACCCGGGCAAAATGCCGTCAAAATATTTTTGGGGTGTTGAATCACAAAAAAAAAAAAAAAAAGAAGAATCTTTTTGTCTGTGTTTTTTTGACCACATCCGCATCAGTTTCCATCGTCTGAGATTTTGCTGGATCATCTTTGAGCACATTTCTAGATTATGACCAAAAAAGATTCATCAGGCAAAGTGGTTCACTTTGCAACCCGAACACAAGGCCTTCTTTTTTCGACAAGAAGCCAACCGTTGTGCTGTTTCATCAATGCGACTTTTCTCTCCCTTTGAAGCCTCAATTGAAGTTCATTTCCATTCGGGTTCCAGATGAGCTCAGGACAGGCACTGACAAATTTGAATCCCTCCATTTTTCTGTAGGCGGCCCTCTGACGCAAAACTTTGGCTGCCCCTGTGTCGGGAGTTTGCACTTGGATTACACTCGCCGCTTCATCTTTATTCACAATGAATGATGACACCTGGGTGAACATTTTGGAATTGTCCTGGCTTGAACTGAAATATTGTCTTGGAGTTGCTTGGTACCTCCGAACTTGGAATAGCCCACACAAAAAGGACAAGCTTGAAAGCCGGAACCAGAAATGAATCAAGAAAAACTTGATTGATGTGATGATGTCTGCAGTTTTACTCAACGCGTTTTTCCAGGGAAATAGCGAAGCAAAAAAAAATTTTCTCCGGACATTTCTGTATTTTGACATAAAATGGGACATTTTGTGCTTGATTTGATCAATGTCATCAATCAAGGTTAACCTCAACACGGAAGAATATCCTGAAAACAACAACTGCTGCCTTTGATTAAGTGTCCCCATCCCCCACGCTTGTGCAAACAGGGCTGCTCCACGCGTGATTTCTCCGTTTATACACCGTACGCATACTGTATCCTGTAATATATGTGTGTGTGTGTGTGTGTGTGCGTGTATATATATATATATATATATATATATATATATATATATATATACACACATATACATACACGCACAGATAGCATATGGCGTGGTATTTGGATGGCTGCATTCCTTTGCTTTCATTCTCAGCGTTCTTGGGCGCTCAAATGGCCACACCCTTTCCCTCGGAGGAGCTGAAGCGGGACACATGTTGGGTGGAGGTGGGAAAGGGGGAATGGCGTTAGAGTAGGGGAGGGGGGGGGGGCTGGTCAGGTCTCTCATCTGGAACGCATCAAGCGTCCCAAAGCATCCCAACATCCCTCATCAGGCCGGGATGGGAGTGGCGACCCGTCCCGAAGGCTGCACAGGCGTCCGTCCAGCTGTTGCTTCTTCACACGCGCATGGACGCGGATAGGCTGGAGACATTGCACATGTCAACTGGTGGGCACCAATCCCGCATGCCCCCAGGCCCCCTCCTTCATTGGAGGTGATGATGGGCGACATCTGCTCTTTTATGGGCCTCTTGGACACATCTTGAATGATGAACGTCGACAGCTGCTTCGTTGATACTTCAACATGGAACGACCATTTTCCCATCCTTTTGTGGCGTTCTCGTGCAGCTTTCGTGTTTACAGTCACAACGCGCGAGCATTCAGTAGCAGACGCAGACACCTTCTTCAAACTTGATTTGGCCATCCAGCTTGTTGGACTAGAGAAGTGAAACATGCAATAGTCTTCTCAAGGCGCATTGACGGTAAAGTGCAATGGTCAGCCCCGACGTTTACATGGAAAGCTGCCACCAAAAGTTTCTTGAAAAGAAAGTTTTGCCCAGCACATTCCTGTTTTGACAAAAAAGGTTTGTTTATCACGTCATATATTTTGGTGCTAAAAACACCATTTTTGTTTTTGGGGGGAAATGACAATTTTCCTATTGAAACGTGACATATTATCTTTTTTTTTTTTTTCCAGAAAAAAACTTTCCTGTGCAGATTCCACCTTCTCAAGACTCGAGTGTGTGACCAGTGCAGCGTATTTTAAGGCTGTGTCCACTCCCGCAATGGTGCAGCCCTCCCTCTCGCAGGTCCGCCGCCCGTCTGCGCACTTCGACAAAATATACCCACGTGGGATCTGAGGCTGTATTTTGTCACCACCAACTTGAAGGAAAAAGCAATGTTTTGCAATCGAGGCATTAGGTCTTGAGGAAAATGCTTTCAGTTGTGAGGGGCGTGTTACATTTTGCCAAGAAAGCAGGAATTGATAGGGCTTAAAAAAAGTCCACTGTATATTTTACTTCATGCCGTGTTTAGCTGGAACATCACCAAATTTTGTCACAAAAAACAAAACATTTTTTAAACAAAACAAAAAAAAAACCTGTGTCTTATTTAAAAGAAAAAAGGGGTGGGGGTAGAAATTGCAATTGAATTCTTCTGGGAAAGCACCTTGTTTTCCCGCCGCGAATTCGGAAAAGAGTCAAGAATGGTGTGTGCTGTCATGTAAAGCGAGAGAGAAGCCAGATGAGGAGGGAGTAAAAGCGCTGTATCGATGTGGCGGCCCATTGAAAAACACTGATGCCGTTGTTGCACCCCCACCATGGAATGCAGCAATGCACTTGGGTGGGTGGGGCGTGGGGGGCATTGTGTGGATGGAGGCCGGATGCCCAGCCAAATATTGTCTAGTCTCAGCTTCAACTTCACAGCACTAAATCTGTCCTTGCGTCTGTACTTTTTGACTTAAGTGCGAGAGTAGAATCAGTCTCAGTACTCGCGCTTGGCCAGTCCAAAGTAGTGCCTGTGAGGACTTTTGCCAACCTCTGGCCAGTAACGTACAATCTCTGTGTGAAAGAGGCGCGAGTGCCCATTGTGGGCACGCACGCGGCTGCTCGCTGTCAAAAGAAGACGTGCACACTACTGGGAGAGGCCGCGAGCCTGCCTGGAATTTAAAAAAAACACCTTCTGATAACGAGCTGACAAGAGTTGATTTTTCTTCCCTGGGAGTTGTAGTTGGGTTTAAGGTGTCGATTTCAAAACAATTTGGAGGAGGAGGAGGAGGAGGAATTCCAAACAGCCCGGAATGTATCTCAGGAGAGGGGAGCGCTGCTTGAATTCCATCGCAACGCCTTTGCAGCCACTCGGACCGTGAGGTCATGGGCTGGCCGGCCCTGGCGGGATGACGCGGCCTCAAACAGGAAGCCAGCGGCTAATGGCGAGCACATGTTGGGGATCAGCCCGCTGGCGCATCACGTAAGAGGCGCTCGCGGCGTCTGTGTCAGATTTACTGTGTTGTCGCGGCCTGGGAGGGAGGCTCCCGCCATTGCTCAGCGCAGAGAAATGAAAGCCCCGCCCCGCCCCGCTCGGACCAGGCCATCCGATTCAACGCCCGGGCCGCTCGGCCCTTTCGTTGCGCTCGCCGCAGTGCCAGTCTTCGGCTTTTAAAGCGCACCAAGCCGGTGTGTGGATCTGGTGTTGTCGAGTGGGAACGGTTCTCGGGAAGCCCTCCGATATGGGTTCCACTCCTGCCGCCTTCCCTCAGACGTGGTTTTGCCGGATGTTATCCGATAGCCGCTCAGTGGCGAAACGCAAACACGAAAAGACGAGCGCGGCGAGGCTGGGCCCTGGGTACGGACCGATGCCACGCATGTTTGCGTCCTGCAAAGCCGAGAAGACATTCAGAATGTCTTCGCTCACAAAAGTAAACGGGTGGACGTGCTGGAAAACTCAATTTCCCTTCCTGCAAAACGGCCGTCGTTTCAGCATTACGGATTGTCAGGGGTCACTGGGGCATCCTGTCATTCCTTCCTATTCCCAAAAGTAACACAGTCCAGCTCATAGAACTCGCCATTAGGTCGAAGGAATCTCAGTGCGCCGAGCGTCCAGCTACGTTCAAAGCCCACATCCCAACTGTCTAAGCCGGTGAGGCTCTGGGCCCGGGAGATCCTGCGGACGCAACAGAGCCACGCGCACAAACCGGAAAGTGGAAAGCCGAAAACGCGTCTGGAGCGTCTTTGTCAATGGAGGGCGCGCTCGGTGACATGCGTTGGAAAATTTGGCTCAAATCCATTCAAATGACCCGAGTGACCCGTAGCCAGCGAAAATGCCGTCGTTTGGCAGGGGGATTCCACAGGTGAAGGGTCACCGGGGTGTTTCGTCATTCTTTCCCAAAGCCAATGCAGCCCAGTCCAGCTGTTCCACTAAGACACTGCAGCTTGATCCAAAGTCCCAATTCCAAACTGTCGAAACCACAGCTGTTAAACTCCTTTTTGTCGCGGGCCACCTTTTAGTCACCGTTTCCCTTGGAGGGCCGTTATGACTGAAACCATGTCAAGAAGTCCAGAATAACGGTTGATTCAACTCTTGTTTCAGTTACTATCGCGAGGGGTTTGGTAACACGAAAATGCTCTTATTTATCAGATATGAGAATTGAAAATTTTGGTTGACATTTTAGAAAGCATCGTGGAAGTTGACATTCGCGGGCCATGTAAAATGATGTGGCGGGCCAGATCTGGCCCCCGGGCCTTGGCTTTGACGCCAGTGGTCAAGGCCATCCCGCCAAGGGCTAGCGCAATTGCAGAAAACTCAGAACAACCGGGACTGTCCTGTACTTGGAGACCCAACAATCGGGGTCCAGAATGAGGCTGGACATTCTTGACCACACTTGGCGTTCTTCCATTCATTTGGGCCTAAGTGGAGCATTTTTCTTCTCCTCTGGTTCAAGTCAGAAAGGGCCAGATTAGCGGCTATCTCTAAAAAGACGATCCCCAACGATTATCTGGCGGAATGAGGTGTACGACGAGTCATTATCTTCTCCCCGATTTCGATTTGCGATCGGCCGGCTAGCGGTCCGGGGCGCGCTCTTGTCCAAAGTCAGCTAGGTTCAACTCCATCTCACATGTGGACCAGTGGCATAGAAAATGGATGGATGGCCGGAGCGTTTCCGAGGGCAAACTTTGTACGTTTCTGGGCAACACCGAGTTGCGCTGAGCCCAGGACTCGGCTGACTGCGACAGTTGGGAAGCAACCTGAAGCTCACGCTGTGACTGGGATCCACGGCGACAACATTGGCAAGTTGTTCCCCGCCTAAGCGAGCAGTCTTAGCCGAGCTTCTTCCACGACTACGACGACTCAACTTGAATTTTCCAACAGTCTGAATGCACGTGGTACCGTGTTGCCTCTCACGGGTCAGTCGCGGGATGACACTCATCTGCTTTGAAGAACTAGCTACGATATCAAAAATGGTTTTGGGTGCCCGGCTTTCACTGTGCTTGTACTTGCGTGCCTTGAAACCGAGGCCCCAAAGAGAATATGTCTGGATCGTCTCAGCGAGCGCACGTGACGCTTCACTCGGACGCAGTAAGCGACTGAGCAGAAGTACGTCTGCGTGACCCGCGAGTGACTGCCGTACGCTTTCCAAAGGTGAAGGATGAGCGACTCATTCCGCTCTTGCGTCCTCGTTCCGGCTCCGTTCTGCTGAGACAATTGCAGCCCGATTCCAAACCGTCTGCTCCTTTCCCCCAAGGGCTCCGTTGGCAGATGCAGAATCCGCAGATAGAGATCCGGCGAAACTCTCGACATTGCCTTGGTGATCGGAGTTGTCAAAGCCTGCTGATTACAAGTCAAAACTCAGCTCGACCCTCCGCTTACTGTACCGTGTGCACCTCCGATCAAGAGTCCCATCAGGAGTTGCGACAGAGGAAACCTTTTCGTCTGGGATGTTTGACTTTGAAAGCAACGGCGAAGGGTCACGGGGCGTTCCGTCATTCCTCGGTATTCCCTCGAGTCAGACAGCCCGGTCCAGCTGCTCGGTGAGCTCAGTTAGGCCTTCATCCAAAGCCCAGCTGAAAGCTCGACTCCACTCTTGCAGGCGGACGCCAGATCAAAAGGCATCATTCTCGCTCGCCTTGCATGGGCCTCCTTGCCTTCAGGTTGAACTCCGTTCTCACGCCGCCACCTAACCCGAATTTGCGAGTCTGAAGGTGCCGCCCTTTCTCATTTCGCCGACCGTTACAGTTACACTGACCCATTTACGGTTTAGAAACACAATTCTCGGCCACGAATATCAAAACAGTCTGTGAAAAAAAAGAGTCAATGCGGCCTTAACTGCTTCTTGTGCCGATCTCACACCATTGTGGAAAATAAATAAATTTACACAAGTTCGGTGCGCGGCGTTCATAACCGAGCAGGGTCGTCTCATATGTCAGTACCTTTGTCAAGGCAGGAGCCCGCGTATGCTAAAATAATTGCCTGGAATTTGAGCTCCCAGCATTGGCCTTCTGCTTTTTATTCTTTCTTTCTTCAGGCTTGCAGAATTGGCCTCCACTTGACGTAGGAGCGCGTTGGGAAACCGGTGAATGTTTGGCCTTGCGCAGGAGAAAGATGTGCGGCTCCACCGAAGCTTGTCGCACCTTTCCCTGAACCGCAGCTGGAGAGCCAGATTCTCCCTGGGATGGGAGGTGAGCTCGATCCATCGCATCCCGGCTGATTTTAGACGAGAGGTGGGATGCGCCCCGGACTGGTCACCAGCGCCGCAAAGCAGATGCAGGCAAGGCAAGGCAACTGTGTTTCGAGGTCACCGTCTCAACGCTGGGCAAGCACAGAGAGAGAGAGAGAGAGAGAGAGCTCAACGTTCATTGCCGACAAATTCCGCACGTGAGCCGCCGAGATTGGAATCCAAAACCAGTCGCCACTTTGTACGAGGGCCTCCGTGACCTTCCGTGGGATGCAAATACTATCGGCGTGGCCTCCCAGAGGAGGAATCTAAAGTCGGGCCAATTCTTGGCGTTCCCACTGAAAGTCCAGCTGTTTGGCCGAAGACCTCCTCGGTGCATCTTCGGTTCGGCCTGGATCCCAAATCCAATCTGGCAGCTGCGGTAACCTCGTACGGACCCTCGTGCAGGTGGAGACTCCAGGCCAAAACTCTGACTCATGTCAGCTCAGCGCAAGACGCGCGTTACACACACTCGTGACAGGATTCTCACCATTGACTGAATGGCGGTCTTGGTATTGCAGCAACCGCAAGTCCGGTCCGGTGGCGCTCGCAGATTCGGATGGGCGGCGCTTCGTCGTAACCGGGACTTTCCCGGATAACCTCCTCCGACGTGCTTCGGTTTTGGGTCAGTTATTTTGCTTGAGGTCATCTTTTCAACGGAACTGAAAGCACTTTTGCGCAAACAAAAAGAGAGTGAGAATGAGAGAAAGTACTCTTTGTGAGGCATCCGACGAGCACGCTCATGTGTCAAAGTCCCACGATAAGTTAAGGCGTGCCGGCTTCAGATTTCGCCGCACAATGACTCTGACTTTTTAGTTACTTCCAGACGTGTTTTGCTGTGGAGCGATTGTGTTGTCAGTCAGTGGAGTTGGTGGGGGTGCGAAAAAAAAGAACGCTTTTCATACTGTGGGCAAAAGCATGAACAATAGCTTTGAGCAACAAATCACGGAGTCAAATGTTTTATTTGATGCCACAAAACGTCCTCTTTCATTCTACAGTATTTGTATGTATTCCCCAAAATGCAACGTTTTCTCATTTTTGGCCCAGATGAGGGTTTTTTTTTTCCCCCTGCGGTTTCCCTTGCCCTCCAAGGGTTCATGGGGAGGTCGTCAATATTTGTCAACTCTGCCCACGTGAAGCCCTTGGAGACTTTCTGTGATGAATGGCGAGTTCAATCAATTCGACTTGACTCCTTGGTGCGCCGCTTGTGTTTGCACTCTTCCCCTCTTTTCTGGATGTGCGTCGAATTGCGTCAGTGCGTTGCATCGCGTTTCACATGCCACCGCCAGCTGTACCGGGAGGGCGCAGGGCACCGTCTCGACCCAAGCAGGCAAGCACCCACGGCCAGTCTGGCCAGCGCTGCGCACGTTCCTCGCCTGTTTACAAACACGCACGCGCCGCCGCAATCCACCCGGTGAGCCGCTGGTTCCAAGCAGAGAAGCGCCAGCAGGCTCCAAAAGTGACTTTGAGCCACTCCTGTTTTGTTTTGGGGCCTTGCCATGCAGGAATGTGCTGCGGATCGACGACGTCACTCTGCTAACGTCGGCGTAGCGTGACCAAAACACGATGCGGCGAGTTAACTCCCACGTGTTGGCGCAACCCACCTCTTTCGTTTTTATTTTTTTCTGGGAGAGAGCAACAAGGCGTTGTGGACATTCCCCCGGGGGGGCCTCCGAAGGGCTGGCCCGCTGCTAGACATGTGTACTCGATAAAGGTTGAGCAGCCAGCACCATCAGCTGGACACGCCGTACGTGGGCCCGTTGAAGGACTACTCTGTTGGACGTACATGTCCTCGATGAATGTTAACTCCAGTGAACCTCGGCTATTTGCGTTCATTCTTTTTTTTCCTCTGGAATCGCTCCTCTCGTCAGTTACTCACTGAAAGAGTCACCCAGTTTGCAGTTGATGTGCTCTTTCTATGGAATGCCACAACGTAGCCCTGCTAATAGGAACGTATGAACCGTGTCAAGGAAGTTTGTCGACCTAGCTAAGGTCTTTGTATTTTCAGGGAGGCGCTAAGTTTAGCCTGGGTCGTTAGCGGAAGTGACAGTCTTCCCCGTGTGTGTGTGTGTGTGTGTGTGTGTGTGTGTGTGTGTGTGTGTGTGTGTTTGTATTCGTCGTGCCACATGCGCACATTTGGCACAATTTCTCGAAATCAAATCATCTGTAATATCTCCGTTCAACGCACATGCACCCACATGCACATTCGCCCACATTAGACACCAGAGGCTGAAAACTGCTCGTGTTCAAGGCTCACTTGGAGGGGGGGGGGGGTCGCTTCAAAATAAAACTTAATGTTAAATTTCAGGCATGGGCGCTTGACACTTTTCCATGTAGTCATGATCAAGATGCCCAGTCGATTGGTAAAACTGGTGGCTGTGGCTATTTTTTCCCCCTCCCTCCCGCTCCCTCTAAATTTGCAAGCGGCCAAATAGGTGCACTCTATACCAACAAAGCCATGCCTAATAACAATGGCATTTGAGGGTTTGGCTCATACAAATGTGTTTTTAATGGAAGTGCAATCATGAAGAACGCAGAGGAACACGCAAATCCTTTTGAGTGCCATCCAGATGAGTCGCTCGGGCGGGAAGAGGAGTTTACTTACTATGGGGGGGCAAGTAGTAGTAGTGGATTGGAGTGGCGTATGCTCCGTGATGACGTGCAGGGTCCTGTAGGGCGGTGTTCTCCGGCCCAGAAAAAGTGCGATTGGGGCGTGAGAGCCACATCTGGAGTAGCAGCGAGCGAGGAAGACGAAGGCGCTCGAGTTCGACGGGAGCAAAGACCTCAACCATTTTCTCTCGCCCCCGCACCTTCCCTCCACGGAAACGTTGTCTTTTTGTAAGTTTGGACTATTTTTACGACTTTTTGTTTCGTTTTATTCCCGTGTTGTTGTTGTTGCTTTTCTCCTAACCAAGCAACAGGAACCTCGCCTCCTCTCTCTGGACTTGAACTCGAACTCTTCGGACGTTTTTAAATTAATAGACGGACGGTTTGAGGCGCTGTTTTGTGGTTAAATAAAAATGCTTGTTAAAAAGTTTCCATCGTCGGTTTCGTGTTTCCACGCAGACTCCTGAACGGGCGCCACCGCTTTTTTCCGCTTCAAAACTTGGGACCATCTCTGATTTAGACCTTCCCCTTGACGTCGTTACTTACATTATCAGATTTTCCCACCTCGACGCAAGAGTACGAACGGAAAGAAACACTTAAAACACGACATTTCCCCGTAGTTTGCACTTTTTACGTTGGCGACGTAAGAGGATACTTGTCGAAGTAAACATTGCGGTCGGTGACCACAAGTAAGGAAATGTCGCCGTCTATCGTCGGAGACCCGCAAGTGCTGTTACTTTTTTTTCCCCCCTCCTCCTCATGTACATCACACCAATGTCACCTAAAATGTCTTCTTCTGTTTGTTCCCTGGAAGAAATACTTGAAAATGCTGCTCATCCTGCTTGGAGTGCTCATTTTGCACCTGATCATCCTCATCCTTCTCATTGTGTCCACAGCAGCAAGTGTAAGTCCGCATTCTTGGATTTCTTCTACTCTTGATGACGTCTTTAAGCGAAATTTGATTAACTCTCTTCGGCGTATTCTGTTTAGTTGTTCCCTTCAGAATGAAAGTAGGACTCACACTGCTCACTTTATTACGTTTCGAACATATACTATTCATTCTTTTTAGCAATAGTATAATCATTTATGATCGTGTGCTACGGGTCTTTTAAAAGGTGCCCTGCATTTTAGGATCATTTAGAAAGCGTTGATTTAGACATTTCTGAATATTTGTGAACGGTTGCTGTATTCTATGCGATGCTGTACATTTTTATGATGGTGTAGCAGTTCCTTAAAAGTCTTCGGATGAGACTTCTGCCTCGTGCGTCACTTTATTTCAGATGTGTTTTGGAATATATTTGCTTGGTCTAATCGAACATGTGGTTGTCCGCACTTCTTGCGCTGGCGTGGCGTCGTGAAAACACGTCGGTGGTGTCGTGATGACCAGGCCTGGACTGTCGGTGGCAATGTCAGCAAGGACCTGTGGTACAACTGCCTGACCAATGATGTCATCTACCAGTGCACTCCAGCCAGCGATGAAGGTTTGCAAGTGAAAACGCAAACGCGTGTGCGTACGGGTGACGATGTACTACGTTGTGCCTGCCAGACTGGATCCAGGCGGTGCAGGCCCTGATGATCCTGGCCGTGCTCTTCTGCTTCTTCTCGCTGGTGGCCTTCGTCTTCCAGCTGTTCAAACTGGTGAAGGGCGGTCGCTTCTTCTTCACCGCCATCTTCCAGATCTTGGCCAGTGAGTACTCGCTCGTGTGTCAAAGCAGACTTGGGCGAGGTCGCCCGGTTTCCTGACAAGTGTGAAGCGCCTCGTTTTTCACTCTTCGAGGCCACCGTACGCAGACAAAGTCAACCAAGCAAGGCAACGCATTCAGATAGTTTCCAAAAAAAAATCATAAAGAGAATAATAATCTTTATGTCGTCGCAGGCAGATGATGCACATTAAACGCAAATTGAAAAAATTCGGCACATGAATAGGGAAATAGAAAGAGTACTGCTGTGACTACATCACTGCTAATTGACATCATTTAGACACGGGTGCAGGCCAAATGAACACATCAAAGTAACAATGAACAACCCAGTCATTTAAGCTATCCACACTGGATGTATAAAAACATAAATCCGGTCAGTCAGCCAATAATGGAGTACAGAGGCGCCTTGCGATATGAGTGTCCTGACTTAAGCATTCTTGGAAATGCAGGCTGTCGTTCAGACGATTTCCGTCAAACAAAGAGAATTACACGTCGTCCGTGTATATGCCACATAACCTTGCCTTACAGTCCGTTAGCTGAATGCGAATGCAGAAAGGGAAACAACCGAGACGGGCTAACAAACACAGCATCCGTTTTGCAGTCGATATACTTCTTGAACCAAGAGACATGGAAACACAAACGTCGGCGCGACACATGATTACAGACAAGATAACCGCACTCTCAGTGCTTTGTCTTTTTGCATCGTATGTTGGCATTAAGCTAGCGGACTTTTGTTAGTTATTAGTGTCGGTAATTCTCTTTAAGTTTTACAGTAACCTTCAACCGGAAGTGACTTGAAGCAAGCGTTTTAGCCTTTTTTTTGAAGAAGAAGAATCGTTCATTGTCTACTAGGATTACATTTTTCCCCCCTTAATATTGTGATCGCGATTACATTTGCTATTTTTATATATTTTTTACAAGGTCCTCTTCCCTTGTAGTTTTTTTTTTTTTTTTTGACAAACACAACAACGGCTTCATGAATTCTCTCAAAGGAGTTGTCAGATTGCAATGACAATGCAAACAAATCAGTGGCGCGAGCATTTCATGAAACAATGACACGTAAATGTGGGCTGCACTTCTTAAGCTTATCCAGAGCCTTCCCAAAGGAATATTCTTAAAATGGATTCCTTTGCGATTTCAAAATTGCCTGCTACTACGTTGCAATGTGGATTTGAATGCAATGACGTGTTCAGCCCTACCGCAGACTGTGACGAAAGCATCAACAAAACATGTGGTCCTCTCTCCGCTGATCCCAGGTCTGTTTGTGATGTGCGGCGCCATCATCTACACGGTGATGCGGACGGACGACTTGCCCGGAGCGCAGTTCGGCTACGCCTACGTGCTGGCCTGGGTGGCGTTCCCGCTCTGCCTCATCAGCGGCCTCATTTACATCGTGCTGCGGAAGAAGGAGTGAGGGAGGCAAAGCGCGGCGGAAGAACACAACGGGGGAGGACGAAGAGCGCGAGGAGGGAGAGGAGGCGTCGCACTGTGCCTACTGCCCACAGACCAACACCAAACGAACTGACATCACGACGAGAGCGCACGCGTCGCCCAATTGCGTGTCGCGTTCCAAAGTACAAGAGATGTACATAGCGTCTGTGGTTTTTAGACATATTTATAGCATTTTTACATTTACGTGTTGTACATAGTGTTGTTAACATTGTCTCCTCGTTGTTAAGAAGAGTGTGTGTCTCTCACACGTCATGCAGCTGTGCCAAAGAAGTGTCGCTTTGTTCGCCAGATATTATGCTTCCTGTTTTTTTGTCTATTTTTTTTTCTTTTATGCTTTGAATAATGTGCCTTAGTTTTTAAAAAAAGATGTTCTTCCTGAAGGAATGCTTAGCAATTTTTCAAATGTTTTTTTCTGTAACTTGATACTCGAAATGAAGATGTTGCATTTTGATAAAATGGTGCCTTTTTTTTTTTTACTATTCTTGAAATGTGTAACCTCTTTCATGTCTGTATCTACTCAGCAAGCGTGTCATTCCTGTGATTCATTCGTTTCAAGTATTGTCAGTATTCTTCTAAATAAACCTTCACTGATTAAAAACAAGTTATGGTGTTATAAAAGTTGTCTAATTCATTTCAAGTTGGAATGCTTTAAATCTGTTTAGAAATGTGCAACGACAACGTAAAATGTCTCCACTGTTGTGGTGATGATTCATGTTCAATGTTCCCTTTTCATTGACGGGATGCGTTTTGACTGTGCTGTAGTTCTCCCTTCCGACTTAGGGTGTCGCTGTTTCATCACCGAGGCGAGTGCGATCGAGCGGACCGCCCGAAGAAGAGCAGACGCGGCCACTTTGAAATCGAATGACAAATGTTTGTTTCAACAACGATGACCAAAATGGCCGCCAAGCCCCAAAGCCCCAGTTTTAACTGCTTTAAGTCGAAAGCAAGTTGTCTCAGTACTCAGTGAAGAGTTTTGAAGACACGTCAAAACAATCGATCAGGGCACGAAGAAGGCAACGTGCTCCGGTGTATTTTTTCTTCCTGTCGAGAAAATGACGATTTTTAGTTCCTCGTTTTTCTTACCAGAGCGATGCAACATGAAATACAACCTCGTGGAAGGTAAGAGATGATGAAAATTGAGTTGATTATCTTGCAAGTGTACAAGTGGCCCAAATTGAAGAGCCATCTAAGTTCAGGTTCCGTCGGAACAGAGTTTTATGTCATCGTGACTAGCATTCAATGACTGTTGGGAAAGGCTCCAGCACACCCATCGACCCACTTAAGGATATCGGAAAGGTGAAGGAAACCAGGGAGAATGGAATCAAAGCATTTCCAAACGTAATGACTGCTTCTGGCCACCAGAGAGGGCCATCGACACACGTTTGAAAGCAATTGGCCCTTTTTTTATTTTGGAACCTCACAAAGTATAAATACAGTATATTTAAAAAAACGCATTCTCTCGATTGTTCACTGACATACGTGTTGAACAAATTTGCAGCTCTAACATTCATGCTAAAAATGTCAACCTTTCCCCGTACCGGGTTTCCTGTTCAAAACGCACAATAACAGTGAAGCAGTATGACATTAATCTCCTCGCGCCAGCGCTCACGAGTTGGCACCAGTGTGGATTATTAAAAGAGGATTCTACCCGTGATCAAAAGCACTTTTAGATGCGTTACACTTTTGAGCATCAGTGACAAACTTGGAGAATTTTGAGCTGCCAAAATTAGACACCAGGCTGAATTTAAAGTGCATGCGAAGAATATTGTGCCTGGGGCATCATGATTTTGTCCCTTGCTGATCTATTACGTCTGCTCACAAAGAACACTCTCTAGTTTCTTATGGTTGTGCCCCAAAAACAAACAAACAAACAAACAAACAAACAATCGCACACGATCAAAAAGGTTCACTGAGAAAACAGTTGGTCACACAATGCATCATCTGCAATCTCGTTGTGGCCGCAAGTTTGTCCCTTGCTCAATTCGTCCCATCTTCAGGCCCGCCTTAAGATGGAAAGCTATTTGGCATCGTGTAGACAAACTGCGTTGTGAGGACGAGGAAAACATTTTAAAAGTGAACAATAAAACAAAAACCTGTGAAACGAAGCAAAAATCAATCTTTGAATCTACGTGTGCAATATTACAATTTACCGCTAGATGGCAGGCATGGCTGACTTGTGCTTCCAGTGGGTCTCATACTGCACTATACTACGACGTGAGTAGGTCGGAAAAAAATATCTATCTATCTATCTATCTATCTATCTATCTATCTATCTATCTAAGAAACTTGAAGAAACGATTTTGCTTTTTTTTAGTGTACCCATTCACTGATATTCTATCTGTTGTCATTTTCAACAAGCAGTTATGACAATTACACTGATGTTTTCTTTGTGAATGAGGAAACTTACAAAATTCAACAGGCGATCAAATAGTTGTTTCCCCCGGCTGTATATAAAACCGAGCCGCAGGCAGAAATCTTCCCTCTTCCCGTCTCTGACATGATGAATAAATAAAAGAGAAGCGATGCAAGACAAACACACTAACTTCCCATCCGCCATCTGTGCACACACGGCACACTCTTTTTACACAAGCTTACTATCGGCTGTACCGTCACATCATTTTATGTGGCCCGCGAAAGCAAATCAACTTCCATGATGCTCGCTAAAATCTCGACCAAAATTGAAAATTCTCATATGTCATAAATAAGAGACATATTGTCAGCGTTTTCTTGTAACCAAAGCCCTCATTACAGTAACTTAATAGTTGAATAAAGCGTTATTAGTGACTTTTCTTATTTGCTTTTAGCCATAAGGGCCTTCCAAGGGAAACAGTCAGTAAAATGTGGCCCACGATGAAAATGAGTTGGACAGCCCCGGTCTGAGGTTTAATCATGAAAGATTGAAGTCAAGACGTGTACTGTTGTTAAACATGCTGGTACACACATACACCCCAAAAATTCCGGAGGGTCGGGGGAGGGGGAGATCCGGCCTCGCAGTTTTCACTTTTGGGGGGGTATTTCTGGTCCCTTTTTAGCGTGAAAAATAAAGGGCTGCGGTGTTGTCACAAAAAGACATGATGATGGTGTACTTCTTTCTGCACGCAATGCTTCTTCTGTATTTTGGGGAGAGCAAGTTGTCAAAATGAATGTCCTTCGCAACAGTAGACGTTACGGCAGAGTCGGGGAAAAGTCTGAACTTGTGAGTGAGTCGCGGCTAAGCACGAAACACGTCAGACGCCTCACCACAAACAATAACATCCCAACATCCCTGTCCTCCAAAGAGGTGTGCCCTAAGTGTCTGGAATGTGCAATTTATCTATCTATCTATCTATCTATCTATCTATCTATCTATCTATCTATCTATCTATCTATCTATCTATCTATCTAAGAAACTTGAAGAAACGATTTTGCTTTTTTTTAGTGTACCCATTCACTGATATTCTATCTGTTGTCATTTTCAACAAGCAGTTATGACAATTACACTGATGTTTTCTTTGTGAATGAGGAAACTTACAAAATTCAACAGGCGATCAAATAGTTGTTTCCCCCGGCTGTATATAAAACCGAGCCGCAGGCAGAAATCTTCCCTCTTCCCGTCTCTGACATGATGAATAAATAAAAGAGAAGCGATGCAAGACAAACACACTAACTTCCCATCCGCCATCTGTGCACACACGGCACACTCTTTTTACACAAGCTTACTATCGGCTGTACCGTCACATCATTTTATGTGGCCCGCGAAAGCAAATCAACTTCCATGATGCTCGCTAAAATCTCGACCAAAATTGAAAATTCTCATATGTCATAAATAAGAGACATATTGTCAGCGTTTTCTTGTAACCAAAGCCCTCATTACAGTAACTTAATAGTTGAATAAAGCGTTATTAGTGACTTTTCTTATTTGCTTTTAGCCATAAGGGCCTTCCAAGGGAAACAGTCAGTAAAATGTGGCCCACGATGAAAATGAGTTGGACAGCCCCGGTCTGAGGTTTAATCATGAAAGATTGAAGTCAAGACGTGTACTGTTGTTAAACATGCTGGTACACACATACACCCCAAAAATTCCGGAGGGTCGGGGGAGGGGGAGATCCGGCCTCGCAGTTTTCACTTTTGGGGGGGTATTTCTGGTCCCTTTTTAGCGTGAAAAATAAAGGGCTGCGGTGTTGTCACAAAAAGACATGATGATGGTGTACTTCTTTCTGCACGCAATGCTTCTTCTGTATTTTGGGGAGAGCAAGTTGTCAAAATGAATGTCCTTCGCAACAGTAGACGTTACGGCAGAGTCGGGGAAAAGTCTGAACTTGTGAGTGAGTCGCGGCTAAGCACGAAACACGTCAGACGCCTCACCACAAACAATAACATCCCAACATCCCTGTCCTCCAAAGAGGTGTGCCCTAAGTGTCTGGAATGTGCAATTTAGTTGGCTAGCGAAGCTATGAATGTTGTAGCATGCACGCTCAGACTGACAGAGAGAATACACCCGCTCTGAAACCGCGACGGGCGGGATGGTATTCATTGTGCTCCCCGGTTATTCCGAGAGGTCAGTTTGTTGTCGGGATGTTGAAGCGGCGACGGAACTGGAAGCCTCCCCTGTGCCATGAGCACGTCGGGCCGCGCAAATGGGACGGCGCCGAAAAAGCGCCCCCCTCGGCGGACATAAAGGAGTCACCTTTCTGCTCACCAAATCCATACTCGCCAAAGGCCAAGCAGTCACTTGCAGGAGACAGGGTCGCCCCGTCCAAAGAAACCCGACAACTGTTTTAAACTGTTTTGGTGTCGTCATTTCAAGCATCCATCTGACAATCTGGAAACAAAAGCTCTCATGAGCAAGTAAAGTGGACCTTTTTAGTAGCATGTGTAGCCTTTTCGCAGACTATTGTATCAGCGCGGGGATAATTGAATTAGCCTGCACTGTCGCTGCCGATAACGAGCGCGTGGCGGCGACCCGAGCCACGGGTCACTGCTCTCCGCCTACGACCGGCGAGGGAGACGGCAATTGTTTAACTGTGCAACGGTAATAAGTGGACCTCGCAGAGTTAATGCCCGGCCGCTGTAAATGTGTCTTGACGTGAACTAGAAAGTGTGTGCGTGTGCGGCAAGGAGGACGCGATGCCCCGAACTGAATCCTAATCCCCTCCTCCCCTTTGCATTCGTACTCCACACGCAGGAGGACCTGGTGGCATTTCAGGTTAGTTTCATGACGGACTCTCACTTGTCCCTCGCTTTCAACGTGAGCGAGAAAACTTGCCTCATATGAGATTGTGATTGGCTAATCCAGCGCATGCCCCGCCTCTGGCCCAGATTCGGCCGGGACGGCCCACCGCCGATCCTCATTCGGGTCGGCGGTGTGCCAAATGAATCGATGATGTCATGTGGCCAAGCGTACCGACTCAGTTTTCAAGTATTCAGCTGCCGTCGCACCGCCAAGGATTATTCCTGTGCGCGAAAGCAAGAATCTCGCAGAGTTTAAAATCCCTCTTTGACGCACGAGCTGGATGATGTCGGTTGTTATTGGTCTGGATTAATTCCTGATGAAATGGCAATTAGCCTCATTAGCTTCGGCGCTAGTCTTCAGATTGAAACCGGTCCGTGGCATAAATAAACGTGGCAGAACAAAAGTCCGGTGGCGTCATCGGTCAATCGACTCGGTCAGAGCTCGCGTCACGTTGTCGTTGACGACTAAAGTCTTGACTCTCGCTGTCACGGCGTTCTCAGTCGAACGAACGGATGCGTCATCGGCATCCGGCTTCCCGTCTGTTTCGAGTTGGTGCGGCAACTCATCGGAAAATGGCAGATATGGCGGCCGCGGAAGAAAACTGGAGCTCGTCATCTCGCAAAGTGACGGCACCCCGCTGGTGCCATGACAACACAAGGAATTCCAACTCGATTGCGCCCAAGACCAATCGGGCCCTTGATGTTGGCAGTTTTTGCAATAAAGGATTGGGGGCAGAGTGGGTGGGGAGGGGACACAAAAGGCAAAACTCCTTTACACCGGCGAGTTTTTTTTTTTTTTTCTGACAATAAACAGAAAGAGCAGTTTTATGGTCATGCGGGAAATCATCCGTCCGTTATCCACATCAATTCGCTAAAATGGGAGCCATTTCGGGTGGGCCGCCAACGTGGAATCTCAAAAGTAGACGACCTTGACTCGATGCAAACTCAAGCAGCCCTCGTGAGAAAATGAGCCGTCACCTGTATTATCACTCACTTCCACCTGGAAACCGCCAGACTCATCAACAACTTATGGTTGCTTTTAAGAGACCGGCTTCAGGGCAAAAAATGGCTTATGCGTGGTTGAAATGCCAGGAAAAGCCCTGCTTCGTAAATGACCCCCCAACTCCGAGGCCTTGTGTTTGACACCTTCATGCCACTTTGAGGCAACGTAGTGTAGCGCTACGGGCTCGTCCTCCCCAAAGCGACGCTGTCCAAAATAGCCCCATCTATGACAGTCCCCTTGTCGATATATGCACTTGGTGCGGGATTTTGGGCCAGCTGGACACGGCTCAGACAGGACCACCCACTCCAGATTAGCCGCGACTAAAAAAACAAATAATCCCACCGAGGGTCCCGCGTTGCCCTTCCTTGGCCAAATGGTGGCCTATGAAGGTGCTGCACGCAGAGTAGGGGGGCTCCGCACACCTCATTAGGGAGAAAGCAGGATCAGAGGAAGAAAATCTCTGGCCGTGTCTGAGATGGGTCAGCTCACAAGATTTTATTCCCCACTCCGACTGGCCTCAAGATTAGGGACACCTCCAATCCAATACAACGGCGAAAGATATTGATTTCATGGAAAAAATGTAACCAGTGGGGTTCTGTGTGCATTACCGCAGGGCGACGCGACTTATAAGCTCCTCAAAAAAATCCTCCACGAAGCATCCCCAGTTGGTCCAGAATGCCGCTGCTCGCCTCTTGAGAGGGAAGCGCCTCACTCCAACTCTGGCATCCCTTCGCTGGCGACCGCTACAATTTGGAGTGTTTTTGAAGATTCCGTGATTTGTTTTCAAATCTCAAAATGGCCTCGCGCCCACCTGACCTCTCTGAGCTCCCGCCCGGTCCCGAAAGTCTGCAGGGGACCGGACACAATTCGAGCTACCTCCCCCCCACATGACACACGGCGGTACGCCATCGCGTCTCCAGCCGAGGCGGAGACAATCTCAGGGATGAAGTTGATGAAAGAGACTGACTCGAGGGCAATTGTGGCACTCTTTGGAAAACAGATTTATTACGTCATACAAATGACACCGTTTCACCTGTGATGAAAACGTCACGGCGAACGACTGGAGACAGCCATTGGGCGGCCGCTCGACGCGTTTAGGCGTCGTGTCCCCGTGAAGCGAATACCGCGGCGCCCCAAAGTTAGCGGAGGAGATGTGAAATTGTCCTCTTGAGTTTCGCAGCTCAGTCAGGTTACGGCGAGGCCAAAGGCAGTTTGGGAGAGAGTGACCCCAGCGGAATTGTGCTTTGAGGAAGAAAATTGTTTGGTCGACGGAGAGCGGCCAAACTAGTAAAGTGTCACATTTCCCCGAGGGCGCGCCGCTTCTCTCTCAACCCTCAAACAACAAACATTTCAAGACCCCGTAAAGTCAATTCACAGCTGGCTTTTGTTCAAATCGGTTTCACGTGTGACACTGGTCAACAGCGACTTTTCATCACAGGTGGCTTGATGTCTCCCTGAATGTGTTTTTGGCGTTGATTTTATTTGGCCAGGGCTTGGTTTTGGACACACCCACAGCCATTGATACAGAAGCGCTTGACTTTTCACAAATTTGAAGCCTCGTTTTTCCATACTTATTGGACTTGATTTTTTTTTTTTTTTTAAGCATTCATATTTGGCAGGATTGTTAACACAAATAAGTCAAAACGTGACAGAAGTGGGAATCCCTGATCAGGCGTAAACCCGGTCACACAGCTTAGCAATTTCAGATCATAGCAATAAATTATGATAAAATAGACTTCTGAACTCTGTACAAAGCTGGCAAATATACTCGACAGCTTTTGATGAGACAATTGTATAAAAAAAAAACAAAAAAAAACAGATCGCACGCACTCGCAGCTCTCAGTCCCAGCCAAAGTCATGACCTGTCATCTGGTAGAACTTGCTGTTAAAGGGCTTGTAGAACTCTCGTAGTCTCTGCACCACCTGCGGGTCAATGTTGGGGTGGGTTCGGCCCTTGGTTTTGCCCAGGCAATGGGGTTTGCCGTCGCTCTCCGCTCGCTTGAGGCAAGGGAAGCCCTTTGCCGGGTTAAAGTGGAAGTGCTTCTCGGTGACCTCTCTCCTGAGCCCCAGAAAGTCCTGGACCCGCGCCACCTCCCCGGCAGGGTCGCTGATCAGCCGCTCGCCGCTGACGAACAGCAGTTGCTCCGCGGGGAAGTATTGGAGCCAACGCTCCAGGTGCTTGGCGTACATGCCGATGCGAACGGCGCTCCAGGCCGCGTCGATCACGCCCGCCGACGTGTTCTTGAAGGTCAGGCTTTCGAAAGACGGAATGTCCGGCTTCTTGGAGCGGGTCTGCGTGTAGTCCGACACGGCTCGGGTGACCGGGTCTCGGACCACCACGATCAGCTTGGTGTCTTTAGACATGGCGTGGATCCGAGCGGGGACCTCCTCGGTGATGTAGTAGCTGGGCGTCTTCTCCATGGTCAGCTGACCCTCGGAGGACTTTGGCATCAGTTCCCTGCAAAAGACAGACACACACGTCATCAGCCCCGACGGCGCTGAAGTTGTTGCCCGAGCAAGACAGCGAGACACTTTCTTCCAAGAGCTTGTGGGACGGGGACATACAAGTCGGAGTCAAATTCTGTCCCGAGAGCGTTCCCGCCCGCTGTCGGGGCGCCGAAAGCAGTACTGCGCACCCCCCCTGCCAAACCTCCCAAAGGGACGACGGCATTCAAATCCAGAGGACTGACTCTGACGAGCGTAGAGTCAGCTCGTGCTCGCCGGGCCGTCATCAAGAAGACCGATGCGGACGTGGCGTCGGGCGTTAGCGGAGTGCGCGAGGGTTCTTTGGCACGCCCCAAGGAAGACCGTCGTCTCTCCCCGCTGCTTTTCAATCCGGCGCGAAGCCTCGATGGCTTTTCCGATCTCACATGAAAAGACCGTGAAACCTTCATGAGCACACCCAAAGGGCGGTGGAGCCCCGAACGGGCGGCATGATGCTCCTTAATGTCACGGCAAGACGGTTGACTCGCCACCTCTTTCTTGTCTCGGTTGAGATTGTCGCAATTTGTGGAGGCGGACCATGGGAGCTGTTTAGTCCCGTGACGGCCTGTTGGTCTTGACCCCGGCTGCCTCCAGTTGATCATAATGCCCCCTCTCCTGTTCACCGCAGCTTTTGGGTACTGTATTTGTACGTTACTTGATTGCTTGTTTGGTTGTTTTTCTGCCGTACAGGATTGTTACGTTTGGAGACATGAATTGATGACCCCCAAACCCGTAAGCTGTTCCTGGCGTATGTTTTACTTGTGCATCAGCGAACGTTGTGTTTCCTCGAGTGATTTTTGCAGCGTTACATCATACGCTAATGACTTTAATTGTGGACACTTTTTGGCTTTGATCGTTATCTAATGATCACCCGGGAAAAGGGCGGGCCCGCCTCGCCAAGGTGATGACTGTCATTTATGTGTCGGTACACGCTCAAGCGGCGTCACTCGCCTCTTCAAACGCAGCGTTTTTTTTTTTGTTTTTTTTTTTGAAATATCGGAGATCATAAAGCAAAGCCGAGTTGAAAATGTTTTGCGACTGTTAGCGTCAATGGAAAGAAATAAGTCCGGTCACATGCGGGCCACTCATCTCACCGCCATTGACGATCTGATGATGGAGCCGGCCGGCTTGTATTTGAAATGGTCATGGAGATATTTCAGGGAAACCCGTGAAACCGCAGCCAGTGGAAATGCCGAGCGAGTTCGTCACGAGACCTTGCTCCCGCTCGCGGCATTTCACTCTGCCGCCGGCTCATGCGCCGGGCACGCGAAAACGCCCACTGACAGTTGAGCGGACTGGGATGAAACTTTCCCCTAAAGTGTCTTTTCTGACATGAGGTGCTTTGCCCACTCGCAACTTGAAATGCGAAAGTTTGCACATGACACCGAAAAAAAACAAAAAACAAAAAAAACATTGAACGTGCGGGCCACTCATCTCACCGCCATTGACGATCTGATGATGGAGCCAGCCGGCTTGTATTTGAAATGGTCGTGCAGATATTTCAGGGAAACCCGTGAAACCGCAGCCAGTGGAAATGCTGAGCGAGTTCATCATGAGACCTTGCTCCCGCTCGCGGCATTTCACTCTGCCGCCGGCTCATGCGCCGGGCACCCGAAAACGCCCACCGACGGTTGAGTGGACTGGGATGAACCCGGCCGGCCCTTGGGAAACTTTCCCCTAAAGTGTCTTTTCTGACATGAGGTGCTTTGCCCACTCGCAACTTGAAACGCGAAAGTTTGCACACGACACCGAAAAAAACCAACAAAAAAAAAACAACAACATTGAACATTGGCCGAAAACTTCTCGGGGCACGCTGATTTGATTGGATGTTGCCGAACAGATGAAGGTCACGCAAATAAGCACGCTATCAATGTGTAAATAGTCCTGATAGAGAGCCGTGCCATTGGGGGGGATGGGAGGGGGGGGCGTTGTGTCATGTGTTGAGATGGACAGATCGATCCCAACCTCCCTCCCATTGCCCCCCGAGGGGCCGGTATGTGGAGATTTCTATTTCGATGATCAACATATTTATTATAACAAAATATAACAAGCACGTGTGCTGATGTAAAAGTCCATCATGGTTTTCTTGGAGACGAGATGCTCTCTGTCTCTCGCTCTCTGTCTGTCTCTTGACGCCTTGGTTGAATGTCGGTGGTCAAGTGTCACGGAATAAGTTGCACTGCCAAGGCGTCGCTTGAGGCCGGCCAAGAGGAGTCAGGTGGGTTGGGAACGTGCAAAGAAGCGCCCGGGGTATGTGTGTGTGTTTGGGACTCACCTGTACCAGTCCAGGCCCTTGTGGTAGTTTCGGTCGAAGAA